GCACCGCCGGCACCGCCGGCACCGCCGGCACCCCCGGCACCGCCGGCACCACGGCCGAGCCGCTGCAGGACGAGGCGGACAACCAGGAGAACGTCCTCTCGCAGGTGCTGCTGCGCCACGCGGGTGCGCGGGGACCATGCGAGTGCACGGGGGGCGATGCAGGGTGCACGGGGGGCGATGCAGGGTGCGCTCTGGGCGATACTGGGTGCGCTCTGGGCGATACTGGGTGCACTCCGGGCAATGCTGGGTGTGCTCCAGGCGATGCTGGGAGCACTCTGGGCGATGCTGGGAGCACTCTGGGTGATGCTGGGTGCGCTCCGGGCGGTATTGGATGCACTCCGGGCAATGCTGGGTGCTCTCCAGGCGATGCTTGGTGCTCTCCGGGCAATGCTGGGTGCTCTCCGGGCCATGCTGGGTGCGCTCTGGGTGATACTGAATGCACTCCAGGCGATGCTGGGTGCTCTCCAGGCGATGCTGCGCGCACCCCAGATACTGCATGGGGATGGGTGCCGCTGCACAGGGTGCTGTTACCCCTGGCACTGCCCCAGCGGGTGCACGTCCTCGTGCAGCCTCTGCATGTGCAGCGGGGCAGGGTCCCGGCTCCTGCCCTGTCCCTGGGATGCTCTGGCGGTTCCTGTTAGATTTGGCCGTGGAGCTGAGCGCTGTTATCTGCCCTCGGGCAGCATGGAGACTATTGGGAACACACTGCCCGAGTTAGTTCTGAGCCGGGGCTCTCACCAGCGCTTTCTGCAGATCTCCGTAAAGGAAATTCCTGGCATTGTAGGGAGCTGCTCTGGAGCGCTGTTTCCCCGCCAGCTTGCACTGCTTCTGGGTTGCTTTGAGTCACCCCTCCCGTGCAGCCCAGCCCCTTTGCCTCTGAAAGGAAACCTTGCTCAGCTCACCTAGCAGGTGACTTCAACTGTGGTCCCTCTTCTTTGGAAGGGCCTGGAGTGTTGCAAGACAGCAGGGTGGGGTGGTTCAGCCTGCCTTGTTTATGCAAAGCAAGTGGGGCGGGGAGAAAACTGATGGCAGAAGCTTGTTTTATTCACGTGCAGGTGGGGATGGCCAAGCTGGGCACTCTAGAAAGCCTCGTGGTTGGCAGAGCCTGGTGATATCTGCCAGATCCAAGGCCCTCGCTAACCTGCTGCTGCCCGTGTGTGTGTGCTCAGCTCCTAGGAGACTATGACAAGGTGAAGGCTGTGTCCGAGGGCGCCGACTGCCGCTGCAAGTGCCTGGTGCGGCCCCTGGGACGCGGCGCCTGCCAGAGGATCAACGAGGGCTCCTTCCGGGCGGAGGATTTTTACACGGTGGAGACCATCACGTCGGGCCCCAGCTGCAAGTGCGCCTGCGTGGCCCCGCCGTCGGCGCTCAACCCTTGCGAGGGCGACTTCAGGCTGAAGAAGCTGCGGGAGGCTGAGAGCAGCGACCTCAAGGTGCGTGCGCTGCTCGCAGCCCGCTCGCTTGGGGCTGCTCGAGAGGCAGCCCCGCACGGGACAAGGGTCTTTTCCAATACCAGAATCCATGCACATGTGCAAAAAGCTCTGCCCAAACTGGGAAAATTGCTGCCACCAGCTGGCAAGCGTCAAAATACTCACAGGAGGGCGGACAGCGCCGGTCTCCGCAAGCCGGAGGGCAAGGCTGTTGGGTTGGCCTCTGAGACGGCTCCTGTGCCCAGGTTCTTTAAAAAAAGAAAACTTTAAAATGTTTTCTTTTAACCTTAAAGATTCTGTATTGCTCTTATACTTGGGTGGCTTATGTAAAAGCCAAGTGCAGGCGAAGGGGTCGAGGTAAGGAGAGCCTCGCTGCTTCCCAGCGCGTGGGGTGATGGCTGGTGGTGGTGGTGCCTGCAYGAACACGGCGCATATCCCTGTGGGGACTGCTGGTCCTGCCCAGTGGGATGTCAGACATCACCCCTCGTGCTGGGGGTGCTCCCTCATCACTGCAGGGATCTGTTTTTCCTGAGTAACTTGGAGCATGAAGGTGTTTGGTCTTGCTGAGTGCACCCCGCTAGCAGTTTGGTATCCAGGCTCCCCTGTGGCTGAGGATCTGATGGGCAGATCAAAACTTTGGGGCAGGAGAAATCGTGGTCTGGAGTCCCTCGCTGCTCCTGTGTCCGTGGGAGATGCCAGAACATCTAGCTTGGACCTGGGCGAGTTGCTGAGAGCTGTGGCTGGGAAGGACGCCCAGCCGGGCAACGGAGCCACGTAAAACGTGTCCTGTGCGGAGGCCGTCGGAGCTCCTGCGCGTCCCCACGGGCTGCCTCCGAGAGCCGCGCAGCCTCCAGGAGGAGCACGGCCTGYGCGGCCAGCTCCGGGCTTGGCTCCGGCCGCCCGCTCCTCCCGGGCATTGCTCGCAGCCAGCTGCTGCGGTGTGAACGCTTGTCCTCTAGGAACTGGCCCGCTCTGCCGAGCTCGTTTTGCAAGGAGCCACATCCAAGAGATTTCACAAGGTTTATCCAAATATATACACGTGGGGCTTTTCTTTGCTGTACCGAGTCAAACCGCGGGAGCTGTGAAAACAGGCCTGCGTTCTCACGGAGCGTTAAGCCCGTCCTGGGGTCAGACAGACCGGTCTAAGCGCTGACCTGTCTAAGGAGAAGCCAAGAGGCACAAGAGCACCCCATCAATCACCCATAAGAAGCAGCTCCCACATCCATCAGTGGATGGACCAGGCAACCCAAGCGGTTTTACCCTCTTGGCTGCTCTAGCATCGTGGTTGCATCTTCCAGGAGGGACTTGGAACCTTCTGTAGCAGCTGGGGAGCAGTTAAGGGTTGTGCCTTATGTGTGCAGACTACTGCAAGCCAAACTGCGTGGATGAAGGGCATGGGATTAGTGGGTGCCTGCATCAGTGTGATGTTTCGGGAGGGTGCAGGCGTGGGGAAGCCAGGTCGTGCGTGTCTGTTGTTGCTGTAGTGCCAGTTTGTGGCTCCGCAGGGTGGCCTGGACTTCGGTGTCTTTGCAACGAGCGTGTGTTGAGGGTGCTCTGGAAGGTGCCCGATGGAGCCCGCAGCCTCCGCGCGCTGGAGGCCGTCCAGCCCGGAGGGAGACGCGTCTCTAGTCTGGCAGGTTGCGTGCGCTGCATCGCTCGTCTCGGGCCGCTTCCCAGCGGAAAGTAGATGTGCAGCCATAAAACAATCCTCGTCTCTTAACRCTGCCATGTTATTTGGCACGGAAAGCTTTCCTCTGCTGTCAGCTCCGCGGGGAGAGAGCCGAGGCYGAGGTGGAAACTCCAGTGTGCTGCCAGGAGCATTGCTGCCGTGTTCCCGGAGCACTGTGGAGCGGTGCTGTCTTACAGCAATGCCTCTGTATTGGGATATGATTGTTTGCTCCTCTCTTTGCAGCTCTCCTCCATCATGGAGATGCTGGAAAGCGCCTTTTAYGGCTTGGACCTGCTGAAGCTGCACTCGGTCACGACGAAGCTGGTGGGCCGGGTGGAGAAGCTCGAGGAGGTAAGACCGGCCCTGCTCCTTGTCACTTGTTGCCTCCAGTGAGATCTACCTAACRTCAAGTTCTTGGGACCTTCGGTGCATTTGGGGCCTTAATCCTTGTGGGAGAGGCATTAAGTGATCACAGTTCAGTTTTGCCACTTGGTTAGCATCATTGCACAGTGCATGATGGTGCATCACCCGAAAAGGCTGTTTGGGAGCAGTTTCAAGTGCACAAAGCTGGGTTAGGTGCCTCGGGTTAGGTCCCCTGTCCGACTTCTGGTGTGTTTGAGGACAATGACCTGCAGGCCGGGACAAAACTGAGGCAGATGCTGCAGGGCAGACGCAGAGGTGAGACCTGCGAGCCTCTGAGGGAGCGGAGGGAGCCTTGGCTGCAGGCTGGTGGCCGTGTCCCAGCAGAGACCTCCTCAAGCGCTGTCCAAGAGCGGATGCAGAGGCTTTCTGGGCAAACAGCGCAAATCGCATCGTCAGCCCCCTTGTTTTTCCCTTGAGACAGCTCTGTGGGCCAAACCATCAATGCACAAAGAGCTCTTAAAGAACTGTGAGAAAAGGCTTTCTGTGGAAGCCGCTRCTTGGTTTTTGTGTTGTTTTGAAGACATTCTCTCTGTCTTTGTTGGACGTAAACTAAATGAAAGGAACTGAACTCAACTGTCCAAACTRAAGTGAAGCCACTTCAGAACCCCCTAGCCGAGAGCAATTGCAGCCACCAGCTGTGGGTGGATATGTAGTTGGTGGAACAGTCCTATAGTTGTCAGCACGAGCTGAAACCTCACGTGCAACAGTGTGCAGCAAGGATGCGGCAGCCGCAGGGGAGCAGGGAGCCGGCATCACCCAGCAGAGCACCAGGGCTCCAGCCCATCCTGCCGCGGCTGTTCTTGGTCCATCCCTGCCCCCATGGTCCATCCTTGCCCYGACGGAGCAGAGTTTGGCTCCATCACCTCTGGTCTGTGCTCACCAGGCCTCCAAGGAGGCCAGGGTCCTTAATGGACAAGTTACATCTTGGCTTCTTCTAAAAAGAGCTAAATCCTCAACGCAGCTAAATGCATGGATAAAATGCCTTCAATTCCTTGGAACAGATGGCCAGTGGGCTCATTTTTACTTCCTTGCACTTTAATATTCCTTTGGCTGATGCAGCGTATGCTTTGCAGTTTGTTACATTGCATTCAGCTCTGCAGCAGCAGGCTGCTGGGTTAAATACTGGAGCTTTCCCCCTYGCTCCGTAGGTGGGACAGCGATTCCACATTCCTGCTGGTGCAGAGCAGTCCCGTCCGGCCGCAGCCCAGAGCCAAGGAGCAATGCTTTGTAAAGCCAAAGTTCCACTTGCGGAGTGTTTTGGGAAGGCAGGGAATGCTCCATGCCAGGGGTCAGGAAAGAGACAGCCGAGAGCCATGCACCTGGTGCGAGGGTCCCGCCTTTCCAAGGGTGGCAATTCCCCCAAAAGSGGTTTTGATGTCTAAAAATAATAAAGCACCAGTGTTTTTGTTCGCAATCCCTCCCTGCTCCTGTACTTTGACTTATTCTGCAGCTTAGTTCCTTGGGCTTGGTGCTGAGAATTGGGTAGTTTGGGATTTGCAGAGAATTGGGTGATCTGGGGACCTGAGCAGCGTGTTGTCACATCCCAACGGGTCAGACTAGAGCCATTCAACTAGTCACAGTGCGAGTTCCTCCCAATGGCCGAGTCAAAGGTTAAGCTAAGCTAAGTTGGGACAAAGGTAAGTCCTAGGACTTTGTATAATGACGAATGACGCAGTTGCTCACACACGTCTTGTGTGTGCAGGGATCGCTGTGCCCTTCTTGGTGCCRTAGTGGTCCTGCCTGCCAGCCTGGTTTGCATGGAGATTTCAGCAAAGAGCAGACCCGATGGCACGTGTCTGTGGGGGGACATGGTGGTGGCTTTGCAATGCTACTGATGGCAGGGAAGAGGGGACAGGAGAGGCCTGGCTTAGTGAGAGCTCCCCCCGTGCTGCGGATGAGCTGKTTTGGGGCCTGGTGCAAGGACAGCTGAGGCTGGTGCTGCTGCAGGGCAGGGGTCTGCAGCAGCTGCTCCCCGCGCCGCAGGCCACCGCTTTGGGGACAGAGTTGTGTCCCGGGGCAGGTGCTGCACGCGAGTGGCAGGAACAGGAGGCCGCGCTGCTGATGGGAGGATGTCCAAGCTGCTTCTGCCACCGTAGGTCTCCCAGGACAGTGGTGTGGGGGTAGGGTCTTAAATGAGCTCTGGATGGCGTTTTTGTAGAAAGGTGGTGAGTTGTTCCCGGTGTAATAAGGAATTTTGCACAAACGATGTCAGTGAAGGGAAGGAGCTACAGGGTTTTCCAGCCAGGCAGCCAGGCTGAGCCAGAGCCACGCGCTGCTCTAGGCTTGAGCTGAGCTCGCAGCTGTTGCTTCAGCTGGTAATCTGAGGTCACACATGAAGGCTGTGGAGGATTTGGGGAAGAATTAATGGCAGCACGGTTTCAAAATGAAGCACCAGGAGGAACTGCCTCCAGTTTCTGTGCAAAAATGCTTTGATTGATGTGCCATCTACTCAAAGCAGCTGCCGTCTGAGGGAGGAAAGATCCAGAAGTTATGGCCAGAGACCAGAGCAAGCCCTGGATGCAAGGTACACCCCGAGCTGCGGCATCGGCAAGGGCGCAGGAATGTTCCTGCCCAGTGAGGTGCAACGAGCCACAGCTGTCCCCTGGCCGGGGACACCGGCTCCGCTGCGCTCCCCAGCTTCTCCTTCTCTCCATGCATGGCGGAGAGGAGCTGTTCCTGAACACGGAGTGTGCTCAGGTGCCACCCTTCAAACACAAGCAGTGCACGCTCTGGTGCTGGGTTTTGCTAAGCGAGCACACGAGCCTGGTGTGCCTGGCCAGGGCTGCCAAGGCCCTGTGAGTGCTGCTGCGTCTGGATCTCACAGGAAGCTGGAAAATCATGGGCTTCTCTTTCTCCAAACCAGCTGAGTGCGCTGATGGCCTCAAGAAGTTGCCTCTGGGGTCAGGCAGGCAGAGCTGACACCACCGCAGCCGACTGGGACAGGTCCCCGYGGGAGAAGTGGGATTCATAAATGGGATTGGTCAGCCTTCATTTCATGGGAGAGGAGCTGAAGTTACTGAGATGCTTGGATAAGGCCACATTAACCCACTGGCAAAGGAGGCCAGGCTGAGACTTGAGATGTTTTGGCTTGTTATGTCCTCTTCCTTTTATGAGCTGTTAAGCAAGGCTTAAGGGCAGTTTTAGGAGGCTTGAGGCCCCTTCTTAGGACAAAGGCACAGGGAAGTCTGCTGGCACAAACATCTTCAGCCTCCCAGCTTCCAGTAGTACCTAGGAGAGATGAACAGGGCCCTAAGCTATAGCGGTGGGGACATGAGTGGGATGTGGAAGACGGTCTGCACGTTCTCCATTGCCCTCAGCCTGGAGCGTTATGTTTCCCCGAGAGGTCGAGCGTGTTTCTGCAGGATCAGCCCCTGCGTGTCGCGCTGCTCGGGGACCACAGGGCAGCGGCTGCTCTGTGAGCTGCGCCAACGCTGCAGAGCTGGCAGTGCTCCCTGCTGCCCCGGGCACCGTGTCGACCCCRTGCACGGGCCCCTGCCCCATGAGGCCCCGTGGCAGAGGGGAGCTGGAGATCTGCRCCCCGGGGAGGTGGATTTGGGTCCCTGCGAGGCCAGCGTAGATGTTGGGTCTGTGCAGGAGCAGGGTCCCRGCTCCCAAGGGACAGGCAGAGATGGGCTCTGTTGTGGGTGCTGGGGAGCACCCCCAGCTCTGGCTGCACRGGGGAAGCTGCCCCAAAACTGCCTTTCTTTGGCTCTTCTAGAGCATGTCCAGGAACGTCACGGAGCGGAGCCATCGCGCGGGAGCAGGCGGGCAGGAGCATCTGCAGGAGCCGCACGGCCGGGACAGGGAGAACTGCTCCAGCCTCCTCACCAACAGCCTGGCTGACATCGAGGGCTCGCTGCAGCGGGATGCGGAGGCTGCCTATGTGCACACGGAGGTACACGGCAAACCGCAGAGCTCCCCGTCCCCATGGAGCATCCCAGCGGCTTCCAGATGTGCCGGGCCCGGTGTCGGGAGCCGCTCCGCACTGCCTGCTCAGCACGCGCTCCATGAGGCAGCCCTGGAGCGCCCAGAGGCCCTGGGCTTGTTTTCCAAGCCCGTTTCCGCTCCTCAGGCTCCAGGCTGCCTCTCTCAGCACAGCGGAGCTGCAGCCGGGCCGGAGSAGGGAGCAGGACTGAGCCGCTTCCCGAGCCGCTTCCCGAGCCGCCCCCCTTCCCGCCCGCTGTTGGTTTTAGAGGTCAGAGGCAGCCGAGCCGCCTTGCTGCTCGGAAAGAGTGATGTCATCGSGGGCCGCTTGGAAAGCGCTGGGAATCTCTGTGCCGGCGGCGCTCGGAGCCTTTCATTAGCGGGGCCGCGGGGCCCGGGGACGGCCGCCCCCCGCCCCGAGGGGCTGCCTCTTCCCAGCCGCCCCCGGCGCCGCGCGGGGCTCCGGCGTCCCGCTGGCGCCAGGGCCCGGCCTCAGGCCGCCCCGGGGGTCCCCGCGGGCTCCGAGCGCGGTGGCCGCTCCGCGTGGGACAGCGGCTGTGGTGTCCGGTGTGGGGGGGCCGCTGGGGATCCGCTCCCCACAGGCCGTCCCCGCGTGTTCCTCGCTGCCGCCCCCCCCCGGGTGTATTTTGGGGTGCCGCAGGGGCCCGCGGAGCGAGGGGAGCAGCCCCTCGCCGGGCTCCGCTCGCCCTACGTGTAACCTGAGCAGGGGCTCCGCATGGGAACGGCCTGGAGCGACTGCTGGAGGGGCTCCAGGCCCGTCCAGGCGGCAGCGTGAAGCGCAGCGCTTTTATTACCCCAAGTGACCTCATTTCCCCACATTCCCGCTTTCTTGCCGTTAATTGCAGCAGGGCTTCAAAGGAGCCCCGGGCCTGTCCCCTCGGCCAAGTGGGAGTCACTTCAATGTTTCGGGCTGTCTTTCCGCTTTCCTTTAATGAGATGAAATCCCCCAGCCGGGAGCTGCTGCGGCTGCCTCGGTGCCGGGTTCCCAGCCCTGAGCCCACGGAGCCCCCAGCCCTTCTGCGAAGGTGTCTCCAGCCCCACTCTGGTTGGAAACCGGATCATTTTCCTTCTCTTTCAAGTCATGGGAAATGGTCAAGGACCACGTCCTTCTAGGGCATAGCCAGGTGCCTGCTGTCACATCCAGATCCTTTTCCCCGGGGGGACATCAGTCTGTCTCTGCTGGCTTTATCGCTTCACCCTTTGCAGCTGTGGTCCCAGAGATGGGAACGTTCCCCTGAGCACCACCTGCTCCATGGGCAGCAGGTGTGTGCCGGGAATGGGCCGGGAAGGGAGGCAGCGGATCTGCTCCAGGTTAGCTCATGTTGTAGCTGCTGGCCCATGGCGTGCAGTGAGCTGCCCAGGCCTTGCCCGTGGCACGAGGCACTGCGGGCGACCTCGGCAGGGCACAGCAGCCTCCTCAGCGCTTGGCTGGCCCCAGGAACCAGCGTGGAGCTCTTCCCCCACGGCATGGCTGTGTGTTTTGGCCAATCGTGTAATGACCTCTTGTGCCTCTTCCAGGGAAAATATGAAGAAAGATTCCTGAAAGATGAAACCATCTCTCAGCAGATCAACTCCGTTGAGTCCCTCCCAGAGCTTCACCTTGTTCCAGAGGATGAGAAGTCAAGGCAGCTCTTGCAGAGGAAACTGCACATACGGAGCCGGCCTCCCTCCAAACCCACCATTGTCCGAGGGGTCACCTACTACAAGGCCCACTTCACAGATTCAGAGAACGACATCGAGGAGCAGCGTGAGTTGGGTTTGTAGCCACATCTCACTTAGCGTCCCTCTGCCCCGCTTAGCGGTGGGGCAGGCAAAGCCAGCACCTCCGCTGCACCCTCGCCTCTCCGCTCCATGGCCACCTGCGTGGTCCCTTTTGCAGGGGTCCCCAGCAGCTGAATGCGCTTGTCAGCCCCCAAATCCTGCCTCTTGTCCCCTGGGAATGTGGGAGCAAAGCGCGTAGGGGCATTGTTGAGAGGAGGAGGGGCTGGAGGCAGGAGGAGATGTGAGTGAGGATGAGGAGCCGGTCTGCGAAGGCCAGGGCTGAGGCAAGGCAGGAGGGTGGGCAATGCCACCTTGCCCAGTGACTCCGGGGGCAACAGGGGAATGTTGGGGATCATTTGCTGGAGAGGACCCCGCCGCTGGGCGCTGCGGGAGCGGATGGGAGCAGCGGGGAGCGCCTGCGGGCTGCGGCAGGCCGGGGGGAGGCGGGAAGACGAGAGCAGGATGTGGAGGTTTAGTGCGGCGTTGCTGGTGCGGCTGTGGAATGAGGGAAATTAGGGAACCGCGGGGACGAATGAGCTGCTAATCCAGGAGACGTGGTTTCTGAAAGGAGGCCAGGGAGCAGGAAAACCAAAATTGCAGAATGGAAATRTAGAGATGGGAGATGAAAACATGGAGTGGAGGAAAGAGAAACTACCAAATTCTATTTTCTCAGGTGTGTTATGGAGTTAAAGCTGGGAATATTGACTGAGAGCAGCGGAACTGTTGGTAAATCCCTGTTGAAAGTGGCAATGAGGGCACCCAACCTCTGAAATGTGCATGGGAGAATGACACAGTATTATTCCAGGAAAATATATAGTAGCTATGGAAATAAGGCACTATTACTGCTTAAAACACCCAGAATCAACACCTTCCCAGAGATTAAATGCAAGTTTATTAAGTATGCTATTCCTGTAGATCTGCGTGCCTGATGTCACTGTAAAGATGTTCGTGGCAATGGCTCCAGAGGGTGAAGGGGGAGAAGAGGAGAGGAGAGGAAGGTTCCTTGGGGCAGGGAGGCCTTCAAAGAGGCATTGGGGATGCTGAGCTGTTTGCAAAGTGCTGTTTGCCACTCGCTGCTCCCAAGCCTAAGCCCTYAAGTAACGGGGGCTCCTGGAAGCACAAGAGGAGACAAATGCTCGCTGTGTGCAAACGCGGCTCGGCAGCGAGGTCAGGCCGGTGCAGCCGTTCCTGAGCCGGATGAGCTGCCAGGAGGAGGAACGGCAGTGGGGCTGGCGCCCGCGCGCGCCGCRTGCCCAGCGCTCCAGGCGAGCGCTGTTTCGGCAGGCCGGGCAGCGCTCKCCGCCACGCTTGCTCCTTGGCAAGTCGCTCCCTTGCCAGGTTGCCCTTTGCTTGTGCAACGCGGGGAAGGGCAGAGCGGCGCGGAGCGGCGCGTGCCGTGTGGCCTCGCGCCGGCGCTCACGGCCCCGTCCTTGGCCCGGCAGCGGACGAGCTCTTCAGCGGGGACAACACGGTGGACCTGTTCATCGAGGACCAGCTGCTGCGGCCCAGCAGCCGGGCCGGCGAGGGCGCCAGGAAGCCGGCGCCCGTGGGGTGGCCGCCCACCGCCGATGGCGCCGCCGCCACCGCCGCGCCACCCGCCGGCACCGCCACCACAGAGCCCCCGGTGCCCGCCGAGCCCACGAGCGGCCCCGTGGCGCCGCACGCCGCCACGGCCCCCGTGGAGCTGGCGGGCACCGAGCCCTCGTGGCTGCCGACGGCTTCCACCCCGGCCAGCGCGGCGGCGCCCACGGCGGCCGGGAGCCTCCCCACCGCCAGCGGCGGCGTCCCCAGCCCTGCGGAGGTCACCGGTGCCACGAGGGACGTGGGGACGAGTCCCGCCACAGGAGCGCCGGAGGAGGCGAGCACTCCTACCATGCCTGCCAGCCCCACCATCCCCGCCACCCCCAAGCAGGTCCTGGAGGAGGAGGACATAAGGAACATCATCGGTGAGTGCGCGCGCCCCTTCCCGGCGCTATGGGTGGGCAGACGCCCGTCCCCCCGYGCAAGGGGACGTGGCCGGGGGCGCAGCAGGGCCACGGAGGCTGCTGCGGGTGGGTGCTGCCCTGCCTGGAGCGCGGCAAGCCCCTGGTGCTCGTGCAGGGCGCTGCAAGGACACGCTGTCCACCATCTCGGGGCCCACGACGCAGAACACGTACGGGCGCAACGAGGGCGCCTGGATGAAGGACCCGCTGGCCAAGGAGGAGCGCATCTACGTCACCAACTACTACTACGGGAACACGCTGGTGGAGTTCAGGAACCTCGACAACTTCAAACAAGGTGGGCTGGCGCCGGCCCCTTTTCTGGTCCCCACCTCCCCAGTGTTTCCCTGGCTGCAGCTCAGCTGGTCCAAATAACCTCCCATTTCCAAGACCCTTTCAGCTGTAGAAATGGGGAGCGCTTCTCCAGTGCTGGTACCAGACCCAAGGGTCCTGGTGGGCTTGTTGCATGGGGCAGGACCATCTGCCCATGGCTCCTGCCAGGCTTATCCTGGGGCAGTGTTGAGCCCAAGAGGGGCTGTTGTGGTGAGATGCTCTTGATGGGACAGATCGGGGCCACAGGAGAGTTTGAGGTAGCAGGAGGAAATCACCATGACAGGCTGCAGATGGCGGCTGGGAAGGGAGCACAGGCAGAACTTGAAGGCAGAGGGCGGCAACAATGGCTGTCATGGGGCAAACACCGTGAAGTTGAAGGGAAGGTTTCACCAGCCCAATGTCCCTGTCCCCCCAGGGCGCTGGAGCAACTCCTACAAGCTCCCGTACAGCTGGATTGGGACAGGACATGTCGTCTACAACGGCTCCTTCTACTACAACCGGGCCTTCACGCGCAACATCATCAAGTACGACCTGAAGCAGCGGTACGTGGCCGCCTGGGCCATGCTGCATGATGTGGCCTACGAGGAGTCCACGCCGTGGCGGTGGCGCGGCCACTCAGACGTGGACTTTGCTGTGGATGAGAATGGCCTGTGGGTCATTTACCCGGCCATCAGCTACGAGGGCTTCAACCAGGAGGTGATCGTTCTCAGCAAGCTGAACGCCGCCGACCTCAGCACCCAGAAGGAGACCACRTGGCGGACGGGGCTGCGCAAGAACTTCTACGGGAACTGCTTTGTCATCTGCGGGGTGCTCTACGCCGTCGACAGCTACAACAAGAGGAATGCCAACATCTCCTACGCGTTTGACACGCACACCAACACGCAGATCATCCCACGGCTGCTCTTTGAGAATGAGTACGCCTAYACCACCCAGATAGACTACAACCCCAAGGACCGCCTGCTCTACGCCTGGGACAACGGGCACCAAGTCACCTACCATGTCATCTTTGCCTACTGAGACCCCAGCGACAGCAGGATGCTGTGAGGGGGCCACCAGCACCTTTTATTATTATTGTTATTATTATTATTATTTTGTACAAATCAAAGAGTAAATGATGGGTTTGTTCTTTTTTTTTTTTTTAAAAAAAAGGTGGATCGTGGATCGATCCCCAGCCCGATTGAGCCCCTTGGCCTGCGGGGGCACCTTGTTTCTGTTTCTCCGGGGCGCCCGCGGGCAGCGCGGAGGTGCCGGCCCGCAGCGGGGCTGCTCCTGCAGGAGGGGAGGGCCCGGCTCTCCTGTGCGGCACCGGCGCCCGGCCCGGGGAGGCTGTGACAGGAAAAGAACCAGCAGTAAAGGAAGGGGCTGGTGCACAGCTGGCCCTTCTGCTTCACACGGYGGGACTCTGGTGTCGGCCGGGCCTGGCGGAGGGTGCACGTGTAGTGGGGAAATGCCCCTTCTCTTGGAGCGTCCCCCAGGGTGAGCCCAGCACCTCCATGCCTCCCATCCCAGCAACGTGGGCCCGAGGGAGCGCTGGGCTCGGGGCCGCGCGGCAGCAGCCTCTGTAAATACGTGTAGATGATTTGTGTTGGTTTGTTCTGTGTGCGCCCCTTCCCAGCCCACCTCCCTCCCTGCTCCCCTCCCGGCCCCTTCGGCCACTGGCCGCTGCCCTTCCTCGCCCGGCGGCTTCTTGTATTTACCCGCTGTTTATAATAAAAGAGCAAGTACCGTGGCGGCTCTCTGGGGCTTTCTTTGGGTCTGGGCACAGCAGGTGAGAGGTGATGAGGGCAGGATGCACCAGGCGTTTGGGGCTGCCAGGTCACAAATTGGGGTGAATCAAGTGAGATGAATATTAACCAGCCMAGCAGTGAAGAAAGAACCATTTTATTGCCTTCAGTGCAAAGGACGGGGAGCGTACGCTGGAGGAGAGGGCCCGAAGGTGCCCGCTGCCACCGGAGCCTCCAGGTGACAGGATGAGGCCGCGGGGCTGCCAGCAGCGCCCCAAGTGCCCCCTCTGTGCCAGGCTCCTGCGCCCCACATACCTCAGAGGCACGAGGGCGGCGCGAGGGCCGGGCTGCAGCCCGCGGCGGCGCCCCACGAGGGGAGCGGCGCGGTGCGGCGCGGCACGGGGGTTATTTGTGACTCCTGCGCGAGCTGGCCTGCGGTCAGGTGGGGCCAGGGCCAGGAAAATGGAACCGGTGCGAGGAGCGCGGCCAAAAGCTGGGGCCGAGCGGAGCTGCGCGCAGCGGCTTCCCAGCGCTGGGGCCGCGCGGCTCGCGCTGACTACGTGGCAAAGGGCAGCGCTCCGCGGCGAGGCACGGAGCGGAGCAGCCTGCGGGGGCGCCTTCCTCCCCACCAGCCTCCTCCTCCTCGAGCCGCTCGTGTCTTCTGGGCGTTGCTGACTCTCATTTCCTAACAGCTATACACGCAAACAATAATAATAATAATAATAATAGTAAAAAAAGAAACCCACCAGTCGGTGAGTGGGTCAGACGAGGAGGGAGAGCCAAGTGTCTGGCACACTGCTCATCCTCTGTGCTAGCTCTGGAGGAGGTGGGGGGGGGGGGCCGTGACATGCTGAAGTCATTAGAGCGGGCGATGCGCTGCTGGCTGCGCGTGCTTCCCTGCGGGAAGTCCCCGGCTCTGGAAAACTGGGAGCAGCCRCACGGCTCTGCGGCCTGGGCCGGGGCAGAGCCGACTTCAGCGGGAGCCGCTCCCAGGGCTCGGCGCAGCTGGGCAGGGGTCAGGGCCGGCGAGCCGGAGGGTGGGCTGTGCTGCAGCAGACACTGCCGCTCAGGAGGGCGTTAGACAGGAAGAGAATTAAATAGCTTTTAAAAACCAACAAGAGCAGTAAAACCTTCCGCAGGAGCTACTGCAGGGACTTGACAATGGCCCTGAGGGCATGGGGCGTCTCTGGCACGGAGGGGGACGAACTGTAGAAGGTGCCGCTGTGGTTGCGGCGCTGCTCGCGCAGGTACGGGGGCACCGAGGAGCTCTTGATGTGCAGAATCCTCGTGTCCATCACCTCGCAGTCGATCTGCATCATCACCTCGTAGTCCTGCCCGTTGATCACGTTCTCTGCAAAAGGAAAAGGCGGCATGAGCCCCACGGGCCAGCGCTCTGAAGCTGAGCTGAAAATGGAGATTAAATGAGAGTGCGGCTATCTGCTAGACCAAAGGGCCCAGGGCACCTAGGAGAGTTGCAGGAGAATCAGGAGAGCTCCAGGAGAAAAGGAAAGCTGCAGGAGAGCTGCAGAACAACTAGAAGAGCTGCAGGAGAGCAAAGAGAGCTGCAGAAGGGCGGCAGAACAACTAGGAGAGTTGCAGGAGAGCAAAGAGAGCTGCAGGAGAGCTGCAGAGAACTAGGAGAGCTGCAGGGGTACCGAGAGAGCTGCAGGAGAGCAAGGAGAGCTCCAGAAGAGTAAGGAGAGCTGCAGGAGAACCAGGGAGAGCTGCAGGAGAGCAAGGAGAGCTGCAGGAGAGCTGCACGCTGGGCAGCACTGCTGCTGCAGAGGCTCCTGGCCCTGCAGCATGCAGGGGCTGGGAAGCCACAAAAACCAGCCCTGCATGTGGCCAGCATCTGCTGCCTGGGTTTAAAGGTGGGAGACTATTCCCTGCAAAGACAGTGTGTCCAGGAATGCGGGAGCCGAGATCGGATTTCCAGGCACGACCGGGCCTTGCTTTTTGGAGTCAGAAATACTGACTGCCATCGGCAGGCTTTGCTTTGTGCGCCGAGAGGATGGAAGATCACCTAATGGAAAACGTATGCATTGGAGGAATGCAATATACATTACTAATTTTTMCTGCTTTCCTGGATTAACTCTGATTCTGGATGACAGCTGACAACTGTGGCCGGGCCCGTTTGTGCCCCACGCCACCTGTAGAAGCCATTAGATCAAACACGTCTGGCAGMGTAATGAGAAGCAGGAGCAAACCCTTGCGTAGGGGCTGAGGGCCTGCGAGGGGAATCAAAGCTCCCACCTGCGGCACTGAAGGGCGAAGGCTCTGATGTGCCGCCGAGCGCTGTGGCCCTCAGGCCCTTTCTGCTGCCCCTCGTCCTTTGAGTTTGCACCAGCTGTGCTCAGGATGGGTCTGCTGAGGGCAGGTTTGGAGCTGGCATGGGGATGGTGCTGCTGCGGTGCCTGCAACACTCAGGCACCGGGACAGGGCAGACCAGGAGYTTGGAAGGGGTGAGGAGAAGGACCGTGTGTCCCATAGCCAGCAGTGCCCGCAGAGCGGGAAGGAGAAGGTGAATCACATCTGGGGGCTGACCCAAACCCAGCACCTGGACAAGATTCAGACAGGCCTGAGACCACCCAGGACATGGGCTGCACGAGCAGCACTAGGGAAGGCCAAGGGGAGGGAAGAGCCTGGATTATTTTGGGTGGAGAGAGCATATAGGAAGCCACTGGCTACATGGGACACAGAAAGCTGAAAACGCAGCACCCAGCTTTAATGCTGTGGAGACAAAAGCTTGAAAGGGCCCTGGTTGTGCTGGAAGATGAGCACCAAAGCTGGGATGCTCTGCAGAGACAGCAGTCACCAAGCACTGATGCTGCYGGGCAGCTCGTCCAAAGGAACATGTACGAAAACGCAGGCTGCAAACTGTGCCCCTCGCTGCCGTGGGACCCCCTGTGTCACCTCGGCCACAAAACCAGCGAGACTGATGCCCTGCGTGAGCCCACGTGACTCCCAGCAGAACAACAGGCAAATTGACCTTAATGTAGTCGACACGAGCCGATCTGTCTGGAAAGACCAGTGTGCTGTCAAATGGAGAGGCATTTCAAAAATGATTCCACATGGCTCTGTCCTGGGGTTCAGGCCAGCTAATTGTTTCATGATCTGGATGAGGAATAGAGAGCAAACTTATCAGATTGCTGGAAGATGCTGAACTGGAGAGATTTCAACCACTCTGGAATACTGGAATAGACTATGGTTTTGCTAAAAGCAAGAAACCGTCCAAAATCATCAGGCTACATTTCAACAGAGGCGAGCGTGAAGTGCAGACGCCCAGGAGAATTCAGGACCACAGGAATAATACGGGGCCGGGCAGAAGCACTGCAGGAAAGTCTTGAGGATTGGAGGCTGGAGAGGATCGCTGTGTGTGAGCCACAGCACGGCGGGCCAGGAACCATCAGCTCCACTTCTACAAAAGGTGCTTTGTCTTTGATTAACTTTCAAATGGCAGTGAAATATAAGGCCTAGTCCTGACCTGATTTTTGTCACAAACAAAGATGTATCCTAACCAGATCCAATAGCTCTGTTGACACTGGAAAACCTGGTGTTCATGTTTCCTTGATGATCAGTTTAAGTCCAGTCCAATGCCTTGCGTGGGTGTAACTGGCCACCTTCAGCAAAGCTTTGGCCATGCTGTTCCTATTGCTTGTCCACAAGCAGAGGGATATCTGGGGCACAGCCCTTGGTTAAGCATGAGGATATCCGGGGCACAGTCCTTGGTTCTCAGGCCAGAGGATCCCCCTTAGTCCACCCTCATGCACAGAAGAGGCTGTTTTGCCTGGTGAGTCCTGCCTCCCATCAACAACATGAGTTAGGAGGACAGCAGAACAGCAGATCTTTTAAAAATACCCATCCTGAGGATGGTGATTCCACCACCTTCCTTCCTGGGGACATGTGAGCCCAGCAAAGCTCTGCTCTGAGCTGTCACAGGGGGCCACATCTAAAGCAGCTTGTGAAGTGACACAGGCCTTGGGTTGATATGACTAGACCTCACTTTGAAAGAGGCAGGGTCAAGCCAGCGGCCTTGCTGCTGTGGGCCAAATTTCTAAAGAGAGAAGAGGGGAGAACCTTGGAAAGGAGGCCCCAAGTTGGGCTATAAACCGTGGTCGCGCTCCCTCGGAGACCTGATTTCCCAGAGATGTGGAGGACACTGTGTCTGTCAAGGGAGGACCAAAAGCCCAAGGTCTGGGAGGCCAGCACTGCCCAAGGGCAGGGCATGGGGCTGCCCAGACACCCAATTCCTCCAAATGTTTCTCGTGTTGAATTACCTGTGCCTGACGATCTGTTTGATTACGTAAGTGAAAACAGGGGAACAGATCTCCTGTAGAGCTGCCTAGATTTATAAATAGCTTTATTACTTCTCTTTAAAGTCTAGAACATATAGCGTTTCATGTTATATAACCTCAGAATAAAACTCCAGAATACGAGTAAGAAGCTGTCCTTTCAGGCCAAAAGGCACCTCGACGTTGCAGTTAATTATTTGTTAGCACTGCTCAGTCAAAAGGGTTTAAAAGCCATGATTCAGATATGACTATTTCCAAACAACAGGGTTTGGCACATTATTGTGCCAAGCACTGCCCTTCTCGGCCTGCACTAAGAAAATCTCGCTGCCTGGGGCAGCATGAAGCTCCYCATATGTCAGTTTGATGTAGGGAGCACAAATCCAATGTCCCTGGGCTGCTCTCTAGGGTTTAAGTGGTTCCTCCTGCAAACGAACATGCTGCAAGATCCCCTCAATGAGAGCTGAAGTCAGCAGCCCAAACCAGACACAGTAAATTAGGCTGATGGTAATAACTATTGTCACAAATTACCAAACATGGTCTGTAACATTTGAAAAATCGGATTTGCAAAACCTTTTTTTCAAGATGCTGCTTAAAACCCAAATATCTGCTTTTCAGTCGAACTGCTACTGCTCAGTCACATATTCAAAAGAAAAAAMMAAAAAAAAATACCCCAAAAATCCCTCCAGGTTTGTGTCTGAAATTAGGTATATGAGATGTTCTTTTAGAAAAAGGCAGCAGAGGAGGACTTGAGAGGCAGGCAATGAGATTCTAGTGTTTTCCTGCAGGAAGTCAGAACAAAAGGTGCTGTGAGGTGTCTCTCTAGACTCAGACCTTACCAGTCAGTTGGCTACTTGGCCCTGTGAATGCAATCATAGGACAAAAAAAAAAAATCTTATTGTGATTTATCCTTTTCCACTTACATGTGGCATTCTGCTGCAATAAAATTCTTGCTTGAAGCCTGCACATAYGCAGAGAGGCTGAGAATGCTGCTTGACCTTGCTGAAATAACACAATACAGCCTATTTGCTACCCATGGACCTTGTTTAGTTCATGTAAAATTTAGGTGTCAGGGAGTCATCTCTCAATATTATGATGCAAAAATCTCTTTTACATCCATCTTTGCTGGAAAAAGCTTCACACCTTCTATTGTTTTCACCCGTCATTCTATTAAGAAACTGCTTTGCCACAGGGAATTCCAAACAGTGGCCAGCAGTGTTAATTTACACTTGGAACTTACTCTTTGTGCCCATCCATTAAATCAGCAGGAACTTCAACAGCTTTCAAAGAGCCATCAGATCCGTGCCAGTATCTCTGGTTGCTTTGTGCTAGCTGTRCCAAGCTGGCAATGCTGGAGTTTTGTTTGAAGAATGATTTAGCAAGAAACTACCAAAAAAAAAATCTTCAAAAAATCTAAAACAAAACAAAATAACCCAACCCAAACTCATACTGCAACCTGCCCTGTCCCAGATTGGAGTTAAGGGAAGTTTCCTGAAAGATGAGGCGACTTGGGCTGTCCCCAGGCATCATTTCCCCACGCTGTGGCTCTGAAATCTTCCATCTCCTCGGCACTGAGCAGCCCTGACCGTCCTCTCCGGTACATCTGGACTGTGTTTCCATCTGAAGGGTTGGTATACACTACCAAATAAGTATATAAATGAAGCAAAGTTACTGTAGCAGCTACAAAGCCTAAAAATACCCTCACTGCAACAGCCCTGGAGGGTTTCTAAAATATTTACAGATTTGATTATTACTCGAGGCAGGGAGAAAACTATATTGCAGCCCAAGTTGCACTTCTTTTTAAATGCAAATACCTGTTCTTAACTGCTTCCAAACAAACTAGTTGCAATCTCCTTATCTCTGTGGACTCTGCTGTCCTTCCTGCCCTACACAGGTTAAATGAGCATTTATCCAGGGCATTTCTGCTTTCGAGATCTTCTAGTACCTCTCAAATAGTGCCAGGCTGCAGGGTCTCTGTGCAGCACAGGAATGGGACAGTTCCTCTTTCCCAACCTTGTTCCTCCCTGTTTCTCCTTAGCTACTGAGGCTGCTTCCCAAGTGC